GGCCGAGCGGGAGGAAGGTGCCCTGCGGAAGGTCAGCACCACGGCAAGGTCCGTGGTAAGAAACCGGCTCCTGAAAAACAACAGGCTGGATGGCGGCAAACTCTCTGACGACAGCCAGCTGCAGAACATCCCGATAGACTTCACCAACTTCCCTGCTCAAGTAGACCTCCCGAAGGGCAACGCAGGCATGGAGGAGAACGACCTGGTGCAGACACCCAGGGGCCTTAGCGATCTGGAGATCGGGATGTACGCTCTGCTAGGGGTCTTCTGCCTGGCAATTCTAGTCTTCCTAATAAACTGTGCAACGTTTGCACTGAAGTACCGTCACAAGCAGGTTCTGGTGGAAGGACAGGCCACCATGACCCATTCCCACGACTGGGTCTGGCTGGGAAACGAAGCAGAACTGCTGGAGAATACAGCAGACGCATCACCTCAGCAGGATGAGCACACGACTATTATTGACCGAGGCTCGGGCTGTGAGGAGAGCAACCAGCTCCTCAACGGCAGTGCTCAGAAGAACATCCAGAGCCAGGTTCACAGGTGTGCTGACTCAGGGGGCAAGGTCGGAAAGGAACAGAAATCTGAACCTTTACATTCACCCACATCTAAACGGAAGCGGGTAAAATTCACGACGTTCACAACCATCCCACCCGACGACGGTTGTCCCACTGTCAACTCAATCCTCAGTAGCAATGATGATGACATTAAGTGGGTGTGCCAGGACATGGACCTGGGGGACTCCAAAGAGATACGAAACTACATGGAGAAGTTCAAAGACAAAGTGTAGCTCCTTGCTGGGTTTTTTTTTGGGTTTAACCACACCTTGATGCCTTCAGTTCTACAGTATATATTGGGACGGGAGAGGGGGAGGGGGAGCAATGGCCAGGAGAAATGATGAGGCAGTTTTTATAATCAGGGAAAGAAATTTGCCAAACTGTCCATGGTTTGTTTTTGTTTTTCACTTTGTTTTGCTTTTCCAGCAGTTATTGTGCTACTCATGGATTTAGGAAGTGGAATATAAGTAGGAAAAAGGAATGAGGCAATGGTATGACCAGTATGATGAACTAGGCAAAATGAGGTGGTGTAAATTTGGTTTATGGGTCGTACAAATAATAGTGATAGTAACGTTTCAAAGTACCAAAAATTATTTGTAAAAATAAAAAAGAGAATATAAGAGCATGAAAGAAATAAGCAAGAGACAAACAATAACTTGTTGGTATTTCTAACAAAACATCACAATTATGGACATATGACTCACAAGGAGACTTTTTAGATTGTTACTCAAGCTGTTTCTTTTTATTCCTTCATTTGAAATGAAGATGTGTCTTTAGCATTACATATGAAAGGAGGAAGAAATTACCTGGTATTTTTATTTTTAGTTTTCTGTTTGTCTTGTAAGTTGAAACAGAATAATTTTCCCTCTTGTGTTTTTCTTTTAAATACCTTGAAAACAGGAAAATTTTCAATTCACTGAGCTCACAATGGACCGAGAGCATTTTATCTCTAAGTTAGCTATAAATAATCTCCTGTCATTTAAAGAATCCAGACAATAAGTATTGACTAATCATTTCCATGTGGAGTCTCTTCTGGAAGCCTAAGCCTCCGTTGTTTCATCCTAGCTAGAAATTATGTTCTGCTTGGAAGAAGCATTCATTTTACTTTCAGGTTTGGATAGTTTATTTAGTTGTTTGTGTTAAATTACCACAACCAAAGTTCCCATCGTTCACCACGGGAAGAAGGTGCTGTTTTATCTTAGCTTTTAGAAGGGACAGCTGATGGGGGTGCCCCACTGGTGCATTTTCAATGTACCTGGAACTGAGACCATCACAGGCCAAATATGTACAGCCTGGATTTGGGGCTTTTGCCCAGTCCATGAGTTCATCATTTTGTTGCTGTAATTTTCTGTTTATTCTAATGTCACCAGCTCTCATCAAGCTCTGAAAGTGAGAAGAATGGACAGAAAGACACTGATTGTCCCCAAACTTTTATTTCCTTGTACTGGGAGAGCTGGCCTCTGGACAGACTGTTGGAAGGGAGGGAAATATTGCTGAAGAGAGATCAAGAAATATCGGGAGCTATTTTATAGATTATTTTTTTTTTTGCCATTGGACCAGCTAAGACTGAAAATTTTAGACTAGGTTGTAAAGCTGATGTTTTGAATAAACAAAATAAACCCAGTAATAAACCTGAAGCAAATACAAAATAGAGTTGTAGATTCATTGTGTAAACTGGCAGAACTGTGTTGGCTCAGTGCCAGCTTACACTAGTAGAGAACACAGATCAAAATCTATACAATGAGGAAACGACTGTCATCCCAAACCTTTTGTAACTAAAAGGAGGGTGGTATATCCAGCCTTTTGGAAAGCAGTATTATCTCCTGACTGTTAGCCAGAAGCACTTGCATTGTCTTGTCTTTACCATGTATTTCTTTTTGTTTGGTTTTTTTTTTTATTACTAAACTCAGTAGTTTGGGTTTTTTTTTTTAACTTGGACAAAAATCAATCCTGCCACCCAGTAACATAGATGGACGTTTTAACAAGATATGCCTAGTATGCATTGTAGACTGAAAGAATGTAATATTTATTTATACATGTTATACGAATTGTAATTAAAATGCTTTACATGGCTTGACAAATTCACCTCTCTTTCCTGAGGAGAGGGGGCTCCTGTTGTTTTTGTGCTGAAGTACTGCACCCACTGCCTGGCAGCTGGAACAAAATTTAAGCTGCTTTCCGAAGAGAGAAGAACAGAGGTGCATGAAAGTGTTCCAGTGTTCTAACCCTTCTCTTGTGAACGGCTTCCTCTTCCGACCCAACATGTGGTGATGATGATGGATGGCAGGAGAAGACAGCAGTCAGGCACAGTTCAGGGCACTGTCACTATTCATCTTGTTCATCTTCGTGCCCACCACCAGCACGAACAACTCCAGGACCCTTGCTTCTGACGTGTGCAACTTTTGTGCAGCCCAGTCATAATTAATTATGTTGCTTCTCTGATTGATACAGTAGGTTCAGATGGAAGCAAGTTTTCACTGAATCACAACTGGCACATACAAAGCACCCTGCATCCCAGAGGACCCCAGGCTGCTTTACAAGCTAAGCACAGCGATGCATCAGCCACACCTCAGGGATCAGTATATCTTCCTGGGAAAATGCAGGTCTCTGAGGTGAAAAAGGAGCTGCAAAATGCAGCAGCAGAGGAGCAGGAAAAATAGTATGGAACAAAAATAATACACCATGGGAACCCAGAGTGTAATTGTTCCAAGTGCAGTTGTAAGAAGGCTGTTAGTGTTAGAAGGGCCCCTGTGACAGCACACACGAAGAGCAGCTCACATCTCCAGTAGCTGGGTGCTCCCCAGCACTTTCTGGGATACTGGTACAGCACTGGCTGCAGGGGAAGGGGGTGATTACTGCACCACTGTTTATAGTCCATGCACCCCGACTTGGCTCTTTGCTTTTGGCAGCTGAGGCTTTATAGATCAAGACAAGAGTGTCTCCATCTAACATACTGTTGGCTACCGAGAGAAAAGCTCCTGAGGAGAGCTCATCTTGCTCTGTATTTTCATGATGACACATTCATGTCTTGGTCTTGCTGTCTCATGACGTTGTCTAAGAAGAGTAGAAGAGTACTCCACAGTGAATGGAAATGTTATTCCTAATTGACCTCCTCTCCAAAAGCTCAAGTGCTTTTTTCAAGAAAGAAAAATATGTCTTCATTGAAATTAAAGGTGAGGGGGGAGAGATCAAAATCAAAGTTTCCCATGAGAAACTGTTTTGCAATTCCTTCTCAAAAACTGTGATGGAAATTTTTGTTGAAAGACACACTCATGTATTAATGCAACACAGATTGGATTCAGCATTCCCAAAGAGGAGCAGAGCTTTTCTGTTATGAACAGGAAAATTACAGCTTATTAATTGTTTCAATATTCATTGAAATAATCACTATTTTTTGCTTTTTGCTTGTTGACTGCTTATATAGTTCTCTGTTGTCTGTAGACAGACTGTCAGACTTAGGCAGTTTGTTTGAAATAACTACCCCTTGAAAAAATCATTTTAATATGCAGTGATGGTCCTGATGACAACAGGAGGCATCCGTGGTGCCTCCTTGGGAGCAGGATTTCAGTGACAATTAGCCACGTGTCAGTTCTCAGTGACAGTAATTTGTCATTAGCTTTAAATCCCAAAAAAAGTCTCTGTGGAGTCTCTGCAGAGTGGGTGGTTTGAGGGGCTTGCACACATGGGGTTCATTGGCTGCAGCCCGTGACGCTGGGTTGGACTCTTGCCATTCACACATAGAGCATTTGACACAGGCTGCAGGTTGCCATGGACATTCGTTCCAGGTCTGACACACGCTTCATCCTCTCTGTGCCAGAACAATCCCTTTGCAAACGCTGATAACCACAAACAGCTGCCAGCACGAGCACACACGTGGCCAAAGGGAGAGGCTTAAGCAGCAGCTTCCTCAGTGCTGCAGGACTCGGGCAGGTTCAGCCCGGCCACTTTCCCAAAGCAAGGTAAATGGCAACATAATGTCCCTGGAGCACAGAATGATTTAGCTGGTGGGTTTTTTTAACTAACACATGCCTATTATTAATGTGGTTTAGTTCCCGAGTTATCAGCTAATGGACTTCAGCTAATCTCCACATTGGCAACAGGGTGGGGTTTTAAAGCTGTAAGAGGAAGACATCTGACATACTGCCTGTTGTAACATGACATCATACTAAAGGAGAGGAGAGCCTCTCCTATAGTGTGATATACTAGATATACCTGGAGAAGGACTCCAGCTTCTGTGCCATATATGGGATAGCAGCTGAAATGTGGAAAATAACCTTCAGACAGGGCATGATGTGTGTAACAACAGGCCTATGTGAAGCAAGTCCTGTGATGGTTGGGTAGAGGAGGACTCAAGAAGCCTCTCCTGTCCCAGGGACCTGCTGCAACTACTTTGTTAGTCACAACTGCAGCATTTCTGCTGAGATCCACAGCTGCTGTAAATCTGTGCATCTCCACTGAAGCCATCTGGTAGAGCCATGCTAACTGACAGCAGCCTGGACGTTGGATTCAGTATCTATGAGGAGTCCCTGACTCCTCTCTTCCTTAGCAGCAAGAATTGTTTCTTGCATCTTGATGGTTTCTTTTTACATGCCAGCCTGCCTTTTTGGGATGGTGCTTCCAACAAAGCAGGGAGAGGATCTTCTGCTGCCTGGGTCTGGACTGGTCTGGGGTGGAGTGAGAAGCAGAAAAGGCCCTGACCCTGTGTAACCCCTGCTCAGCAGTTACAAAACATCCCTGTGTTATCAGCAGTTTCCAGCAGGAATCCAAAACACAGCCCCGTGCTGGCTGCTGTGGAGACAACTAACCCTACCCCAGCCATGACCAGCACAGTCTAAAGCCCAGAGGCCCTCGGGACAGGCCGTTCATTTTGACTCTTCTAACTCAGCTGAACAGGAGCATGTCTTCAAAATGGCGTGGTCCTTGCAAGGGAGGGCTGTATTTTAAGAGACAACAGAGGGAATTAAAACAAAAAAAAAGGAAAAAAAACTCAGCCCTGCCTTCACATTTAATTTTTCTGAAGCTGCTGAGCACGGTGCTTCAGAGCCAGGCAGGTACTGAGGTTCTTCACTTTATCTTCCACTGACCAAAACTCCCATCAGAGCCCAGCTCTGAGTGAGCCACCCTAAATGATCATCTCAGCAGGGAGGAAACCGCTGGGCTGTGAAACACCCTTTATTTGAGCAATTCACCTGGGGTCAGATGCCAGGAGTCACATTCCTGCAGCCCCGCAGTC